AGAAAGTAATGGTTTTTTTTTTTAAAGTAATGAATTGAAGGGTTTTTGTTTTTTCAATTATAACACCAAACAAGAAGCATTTAATTAAAATAATGTTGTGAATGCCTTTGCCTACATTGTTTGGACATTTACAAAAATTTTGTATTAACTATATAGTTTTGTTGCAGGAATTTGATCATCCACATATCCTGCTCAGCAACAGTGACGGATTGTTCTTCCACTTGGTTCAGCAGACAGGTTTTGCGATGGCCCGAGATTTGGCTGTCATTGCTGAACAGGTGACACAGATTGTTTGGATAGAGTTATATCAATTGTATCTATTTTTAGAAATAAGTTGAAACAGAGTCTTGATTATACTCCTTTAACAGGCCACAACAAGGTTGAAAAAGCTAGGATAAGAATAAGAAGAATAAGAATAATTTATTCCATTGATCTTTTACAAAGAAATAGGACAAGTCATATACAAGTACATCAAAATACATCTGATACATCAAAATATTACATAAAATACAATTAGGCATAATAACTTATTTCAATTAAAATTCAACATCAAAATTGCACTAGATAAAGTCACTTAGGTTGTAAAAAGGATTTTTAATAAACCAATTATAAATTCTTTTAAAAAAATATTATACTCAACAAGTTTTGCACCGTCAGGTAGAGTATTAAAAAAGCGAATTGAGTTAATTTTGAAGGAGTCACCCGTTTTAGCCAGTCTATGAGGTTTCATGCTGAGCTTGCCTCCACCCTAGTGTTGTACTTATGAGTGTCAGATCTAAGGGGGGAAGAATGCAAGTTTGACTTGGAGAAAAAATACTTGAAAAATGTACAAATTAATTACTGTTGGAATTTTTAATTCTATGAAAAGAGGTTTACAATGAGCTAGGAATCTAGAATTAGCAATATTACGTACTGTCTGTTTTTGAATTGACAGAATATCAGCTACATAGAATATCAGCCGAACCCTGCTAAGACCCAAGTTTGTGCCTTTCACCTAAACAATAGAGAAGCAGGTCGTGAGTTGAATGTGAGGTGGCGGGGAGACCCTCTTCAGCATTGTCCTACACCCAAAATATCTTATTGTCATACTGGACCGCACACTGACATTTAAGACGCATTGTATTGCAACAAGAGGTAAAGTCTCAGCGAGGAATAATATCATCAGGAAGCTCACCAGCAGATGCTGGGGTGATAACCTTAATGTCCTCAGAACCTCAGCTTTAGCGCTCAGTGTGTCTGCTACGGAGTACGCTGCACCAGTATGGAATGCATTGTCACATGCAAAAAAGGTTGACATTGCAGTCAATGACATGGCTCGGATTGTAACTGGGTGTTTGAAACCAACCCCAGTACACAAACTCTATCCTATCATAGGGATCGCCCCTCCATCAATCCGACGTGATGTCGCTGTCAATGCAGAAAGGACTAAGCAAGAGGAGCGACGGCTTCGGTCCAGAAAGAGTTTTTTTATCACGGACACGAGTCCTGGATGGATCACTCTCAAGCAATCGGGTGGCAAGGTGGGAGGCCACATTGACTAACCCTCCCATACCAGCCAGGGAGGAACTGGCTCCTGGTGGAGGCCTGCATTACACGGTGTGGAAGACCCTAAATTGAATCAGGGTCGAGGTACCAAAATGCAAGACAAACATGCAGAAATGGGGTCTCTTACCAGACGAAGAAAACATCTTGTGTGTGTGTGGTGCTGTTCAGGATCATGGCCATCTGCTGATCTGTCCACGCCTAGACCAGTCTTGCACATTAGATGATATTTTACAAGCGAAGTCTGATTTCCGGACACGGAAAGTAAGTATCAGCTACATGAGGGGAATGCCCCAAACTAGAATGCCATAGAGTCCAAAATATGATAGTCTCAAATATTCTTGATTAACCATTTTTTTTTATTTCCATAATAAGCAATCTACTCTTGATAACTTTTGCAAACTGTCTCAATATGAACTGACCAAGTTAATTTTGGATAGCACTACAGCTAAAGGCTTTGCACTGAGGCTGAGGGAGTGACAACTACAGACAGCTAAAGCCTGACCACCTTGTACTGTCGGTTTCCGAGTACAGTGTGGGACAGCAAAAGGCACAACTGCTCCGGTGTACAGGATTGCTACACAGAAAATGCACGTTATGATCGTCAGTCAGATAACAGTGAAGGTGGAATAAAGACTGTACTCCTTTTTTCAAGAAATAATTGTTAATTTAGCTAGTGTTCAAAATTATGGTTAATATACTAAATTAATTGTAACCGTCTTTCCAAACAATTCTTTGCTAATGCAGTGTATCTTCACTTCAGTAAAACTCATATGATTATGACCATTATGTTGTTAGGCTATACTTGTGTTTTAGTGAGCTATTTATAGTAAAATATTTATACAATAACAAATTAATATGAGTTTATTTTTCAGAATTTCAAGAACTTATGATCAACTAGCCACATTCTTACAACATTTTATTCAAGATTGACTACAGTATTGCTAACTTTTGTAAATAGACTTATATTATCTAAAATAGCAATATTTTACACTGTCAATATCTCTTATCTCTTAATAACACCCCCCCCCCTCCCCCTAAAGTACCGCTTATAATTTTTTTGAGTAATGTGTCGTTTTCAGGTCCACCAATTCCATTACTAATCCAACAATTGCCTCTTGAGCTATGCAATATTTTACTGCAAGAGTGAAATATGTACATAATACCCCCGCCGCAGCAAACCTGCAGACTAAGCAAATTTCCATTTGCCTAATTGGATTTACAGTAAAATGTCTCATTAAAAATATCACATTTTTATTCCCTATTTAAATATTATTAGTTTAAAGAGTAGGCCTACTTAGGTTTGCTGCAACAGTGAGGGTTAAAAAGGTTTTTTTTTTGTAAAATGTTAATAGTTTAGTATGAAATAAATGCATTTTCCAAATTTGTTTCCAAAATATGTCCATAAACAAGCAAATTACACCAGTTTACTTATTCTCCATAAGGATGGTGTGTATATAGGTTTTAGCTTATTCCCTATGTATGGGAAATTATCTAAAATCATCTGTGCTATTAATTATTCTGTCGCAATCATTCGGGTCTGACTTAGGGGAGGTACAAATGAGGCATTTAGTTCAAAATTCCTCCGTGAACAGCGCTGTAGTAGAGAGCACTTTGGCAATGAAGGTTTACTAATCGCAAAAATAGTTCTGTTCATAAAATAAAATTATAAATGCCTCAAATTCAATTTTACTATTTTTTAATTATAAAATTAAACTATCATAACCTAACCGAACTAACCAAACTTGCTGATAAAGAAATAATATAACAAAAGTTTAGTAATCGGAAAAATAATTCTTTTTATTAAATAAAACTAGAAATTGCTCAATTAAAATTTTATAATAACTTAATAATAAAATTAAACTGTAATAACCAAACCAAACCAACCAAACTTGCTGATAATAAAAAATCTTGGATAAAAAGTTAATGCAACCAGCGGGAATCGAACCCGGGACCTAGAGTATATCAGCCCGGCACGCTAACCAATAGACCACCGAGGCCGATGGCTGTTAAACGTTTTGTTACGGTAATGGCGTTCCCTCAGCTAATAAGAAGCCCTCAGCTGTCATCGTAGCCTCTTCTGTACCTCCCCTGAGTAAATCATTCAGCCCCAATCATTCAGCTCGCTCTATTCAACCTATAAATTCCTAGGATGCCTCATGCTTTGCACCAAGTGCCTGTACACCATTAATTGATAATACAATGCATCATATACTGCAGACTTCCTCTCATTGGATGGTCATGTGCGTATGATTATGCAGCCACATGCACATGCTTTATCTTTAGCCACATATTAGTTCTGTCCTATACGTGCTGATATTATTATATTTCTTTATTTTGTATATTAAATGTGTGGTTTTGAAATTCACCCATTGGTTTTAGCTTCTGGTTTGGACAAGGGTTCAGTTCTAAAATTGTCTAAATGAGAGTCTATTGCAATGTTTAATATTAAAGCACTTTATATAGGTATCTAAACCTATATAGGTATATTAGGTATATAGGCTATAGGCTATATAGGTTATAGGTTTTATATAGGTATATTTTGAACACATTTGTTTGACTTTGAAGTACAAAAGATCCTTTGCTATTCCAAACTAATTGGGTAAAAACCTTTTTAGGATTAGCAGGAATTTAATATAACCATAGATAAAACATACTCCCTTAGTAGATTTCTCATCCTTATGGAACAGCTGAAGACAATTTTATTGTTAGTTCTGTACGGTTTATGTAGAGGTCGTGTTTTGTTTACAATTTGTTTCCCGTTATTACAGCCATTTAAAACCTCGTTTAACCAAATAATACGATCTTACCATAAACAATAACCTGTCCCCTAGTTATATAACCAATCAGTAAAGCACAAATCAAGAAATTAATCCTAAAATAATAGAAACAAAGTTTCGTCGACACTAGCGCCCATGTGTCACGTACATGAACTAGACACGACAAACGTGCTTCAAAATTTACAATGGGATGAGAAGTCTACTTGTGTTGGTTAGTCTATGATATAACTAAGGATAATTTCACCAAATTCATTCAGACAATCCAAACCAATGTATTGAATTGTATTGTCTAATTGGCATTGCCTAACAAGTGCAACTATATCTGATAATCAATTATATAACTTATTGATAGTGATTCACTGAATGTTGGAAGGAAATTACTTTCAATGACTCCTTTTCCCAGGCGCTATGGAGATAGTGTTGTACAAACTACTGTACTGGACTCACCATCCCTCCCACCCTACTATAACAATCTTTTCAAAATTAAGGTGGTTATAGGTTTCCTAGGTTCCCTCACTTTTTTTAGCTTTTAATCTATATAAGCTTGAGCCATAAGCAGTCTGCTCTTGTTTCAAAGTTAGAGTAAGGTGGAAGGGATGGAACCGCTTATATTTTGTGAGCGGAGTATAATCACCCCCTTCCCTGCGGTTTACTCACTTGACTGTGCCGATCAGTATTTCAAAGATGTATTTTTTTAACTATGTTCAGAACAGCTGGTTTGGGATTGCAGGACTTTACTGTATTCTCACACTGTTGAAGTGTTACATTGCAGTTAGTTGCAGTAGTCCACCTGCACCTGTGTCCGGCAAGTTTTACACTTGACGTAGCAACACCAGTAGTACTTGCAGTGACATCTCTCCAGTCTCTCCTCCCAGCGAGTCTCGTAACCTCTGCCGCAACACATGTTGTTGCAGCTGGAGTAGCCCTCAACTGAGCTGTTACATCTTCTGCAACAATAGAGTAATTAGTAACATAAACTACAATTACTGGACCACTAGGTCATTAGGAAGATATCTCAGTGTTTGGTTTTGTGAATTGTGACTATAAGTTTCAATTCTAATGAACCATGAACCAATAAACTTTGGTAATCTATAAAACATTTTGTGTCACAAGGTCTGAAGGGATATGAAATCACTGCAAACAATTAAATTTTGTTTAGTTAAAAACTTAAGGAATCGGTAGAACGTTTAAGTTTGGAAGTTGTAAGTAAGCCAAGTTGTGAGTAAAAGTTAAGTTTCAAACATTAAAGATGAGTTTCAAATTTTACATTTTAAAGTTTCAAACATTAAAGTTAAGGTACTGGGCCAATCCGACACATATGGCCTACTTTCTCCTATTAGATTATCAACAGCCCTTATCATGAACAGAGATTAGTGAACTATGGAATTTTATGGGTAAAATCACAAAGTCTGCGATAACTTTTTGAATAATTTGTTTTACAGTATTCTGAGGCTGGACCATTTTGATTGGAGTTACTAAGACTATAACACACTAAATTATAAATTTGATTTAAAATCTGTCTAGTAGTTTATTTATGCAATATATTTTTGTTATATTATGTGTTTTTGTAGAAAATCACAATTAAAAATAATAATTTCCAAAAAATGAAAAAAGGCCTGGAGATGCCAAGAAATTGAACGGACCACAGGAGTCTGTATCTGTACACATCAGCAATACACACACAGATATCACTTCAAAAACTACTTTTTTGGGTTTATGGGGACCAAAAACGAATATTTTCCTCGAAACAAGCGAACATTTTACAAAAACAAAATGTATATTATATTGTGAGAGGGGTGGATTCGTGGTCGAAGCCTGTCAACCGAAGCTTCTATGTACAAGGGGAGGGGGGGCGTAATGCGAATATAATGCGTAAGGTGAAATATCCAACGTTACACCAGTAAGAAAAAGCTATTGCCGAGATTTCAGCTTAAACTCAGTTGTTCAATGTACTAGCGTGAGTAATTACACTCCAAAACTCAGTTCAGAAATGAGACCATTTATCTTGGAGAACGTCACCTAATTTTACCTCATTATCTCACCATTCCTGCCAATCAAAGAGTTAAACACGGCCAATAAAACTTAACAGGAAACGCCACGAGAGAATAGGTAATAATGCCACTGGACTACACCGTGTCATCAGATAAAACCCCAGTTATCTAAAGCATTCCACTTTTTCACTCCAAATTAAATACCCGCCCAATTAGTTTTGAACACTCATTATTATATTTTTTCGAATGAATCACCGCCAGATTCCACATCATAAAATGGCGGCGACGAAAGACATGATCGGGTGGAATGCGGCTGTTGCGGGTTTTTGTAGGTCTTTGGGAGGTTTTCTCCAGCAGCTAGGACGAAATTACAGCGACCAAGTTGTCTGGGTGAATTTAATTATTTTGTGAACGCTGCACACAAAGGGAATAGAGGGGATAGCGATAGCAGGGTGAATCTTTCACAATAATTTTTAAGCTTATTAGGAATCAAAATTGAAATATATAGCCAAAGATATCACCAATAGCTAAAAAAAAGATATCACAACGCACCGTACCTATTAAATTGTTAAAATTTCTCAATAATTGGTGTAACAGTAACATTTCTCTCATTACAATGGCGACTGCATCTCTGGTTCTTTCTAGTAAATAAGTTAAATTTGGATTTTTTTAAATAATAAAATATGTCTTTGGCATCATAAATGACCGTTATACAAGAGTCACTGACTTTAGTTCACTTAGCCTTTTCTTGGCGGAAAATATGTTTATAAGAAAATACAACTTGAAGTTTATTTTAATGAATAAGTAGGTTGTCGATTAGCACTAGAATCAACACAGCTCGTTCAATGCAGACAAAACTGTTTGAGCTATCTGATCCAGGGGTATCAATATGAAATATTTAATATGATTTATAATATTTTTACAGACAGTTAAAGCCCCAACATTATTTTATGAAAACCCTGTATATATAGAAGCTAAAAGTCCCTGAATTTAGCATCGCCAGAGGAGAATCACGTGAGCTTCTTTTTTTCAATATAGATGAATAGCTCACAATATTTTATGGCGCTATCAATTTATTCAGCCCTGGCTGGTCAATGATCATGAAGAAGTTATGTAATTGGATGCGTTTAGGGCTGGCGTTACAATTCAAGAAAAGTACAAGTGCCATGGTACTTTATCCAATCCAGTCACGCGAAAATATTTTGTAATTTCGGTTTCACACACTTTTAAACTAGCATAAAAAGTACTCAATTGTGGAAACTGCTTCCTAAAAAAATACTACGTTCAACAATGGTTCAACACTTCAATGAAATATATGGTAAAGAAAACGAAAAAAATAAAAGAGGGGGGAGAACCGTTATAACATTTCTCAAACCTTGTATCAGCTTGAAAATAGATATGTAGGGCCTACCTGCCATGTGTACCGACGCTGCCGGTACGATAGTCTCTGTGGCAGTAGTCAGGGCTGTCGTTTAGGTACAGAAGATCGTCTGGAGAGTAGAGAGGACCAGGAGAGGGTCTAGCAGGTAGAAGTTTCCACCCCACAGCCCCGCCCACTCGGACTGCAACAGAGTGGGGGTATCTGCGGACCAATCGAGTGGCGATCTCTTGTAGTCGTGACGGCAGTGCTCGCCAACACGTTCGTATACTGCACGACCCCGAGACTCCGTGACACTTGCATTGCGACTGCACACTGCTCTCCACGAGCTGAGGAATGAAAATGAATAGAAAATATGATTTTAGCGCTGTCAAATTAAGTCCAGAATATTTCAAGCACATTTCAAAATTTACCAAGAAGACAGAGCATATCACACCAAGCACGCATCTCTTCGGCATAAATATACAGCGATGGAAAAAGAGAGTTTGCAATTTCAAAATGTAAGAGGTGAGTGGTGTGCAATTTGTATTTTATGAGAGATAGCGAAATTAAAGTCAGTTTTTTAACAGTACTCGATATCAGGGCTAGAGATCGATATTGCCTATCCCCGGTATGTCCTGTGTTGTAAAATGGCACTTTCTTCTGGCAGAAACATAGGCCATGGAACATTCATAGGCATATGGAAAAAGCATCCTATACACCCCTTGGAGTTCTTATCTCGTGGGGTACTAATGGCTGACGCTAAATTGACTATGACTAAAAGCTATTTTAGGATGGATAGTACCTCATGTACGTATACATTGGTGGCACTTATAAATAAGTAGATAGTTAAATAAATTATCATGGAATCTCTTACTCTTCTCCCAACTTGGTTGTTGTGTAAGTTGATCGAGGTCATCGTTGTTCTTTCTGAGACTCCGTGGACTTCTGTGTCAGTTTCTGATGTTCTGGTGGTGGCTGACTTGGGTCTCATTCGCTCTCTGTATCTTAAACTACTTGTGTGTCTGAAATACCGAGATCAGAGATTAGCTTAAATTATCTATAGAATTAATTGAATCCTAAAAGTATAACTAAAGAGATTGGTTTGTAGAAAGTGTTATCATGATAGGTAGGGTAGGCCTTTTATTTTATGTTTGTTCGAAACCTACATAAACAGAAGACAACAATGTCATGAAAATCTGTTGACTTAATTAGTTAGTGATTTTAGTTTGGGTGTGGAGTGTGTGACTGTGAAATAAGAAAAATCCTCATTTTCTACCACACAACTACGGCAGTACAAAAAGGCAATGGAATCATCAAACCTCTCTGAAGAGTCCACGAACATAGCTGCAAACTGTGACGCCCAGCGTAGATTATCACCGCATCCGCCCCATTTGAAGTTTCCATTTGGAGGTTCCCGGGGAGGAGATGCGCATGAGCATTGCGGCAGCAGACCTGAAGAGCATGCTCGTGCTACTGCATGCGTGACTGCAGCAGACGCCAGCGCGTATACGAATGCCTGCTCCCGTGTACCTAAATGTTGACAATATGACTAGTCTTACTTTTCACATTGTAAAAAGCATAAGAATTGACTTCAAAATCCCTGAGGTTGCCTTTCGTAGATGGGCTTGGCAATACAGTACTTAACATATATAAAGCACGGAATTACTTTATTTTTATGCTTTCCATCGACAATCATAACCTCAATTTCCCATAGTATATACACCTCCGGAATTTTAACAACATTCTCAATGCCTTTGGTATTAATTCACAGTTGTACCGTATGGGAGGGTAGCCCCAGAGTCCCAGGCACATCAACCAAGCTTATTGTGCATAAGTGCACAAATAGACACAGATCAACTCTTTATGCTTGTATTTATACATCTTATCCTTAGCTCAGATTCCAAGATGGAAGTGCAAGTGCAAGCATGATAATAATACCCCTCAAATAATCGTATTCGTAAGTACACACGTAAGTACGCCGTATTTCGAATCGTAGCCCCGGCGGCTCACTCCAGAGACTGCCAGATAGGCTCCTCTATCCTGATTCTTTAGTGGCCGGTGAATTACACGTTTTGAATTGCTTCAATTCGATGAGGCTCGTCCAAGCCAATGTTCTCGTCTTTACCACCTTATTCGGCTCTTCTACCACATGTGAAGTTTGTACCATTAATTAAATTGAGCAGTACATATTTGGTAAAAGAATACGAAGAGGGTATATTTCATATTCTTGTGACCGTCAGAAGTCATAATAAGAAAATAGTTGTTCATATCGTAAACGAAGACTATATTTCAAACCAAACTTACCAGATGTAAGGTCTGGAGTGAAGTTTGGTGCCAGGAGGACCGAAGAGCAGTTCCATCTTCTATCCTGTAGTACGTCCTGGCACACCGAGACGGTAGTGAATGCCGCACGAACTACCACGGCGAATACCTCAGGGGAGGTCCTGCACAGGCGGGTCTGTCTGCGGGAGAGTTGCAAGGAGTTCCGGGCCGAGCGACACGCTGAACTGGAGTTCCAGTGGATGTTACCGCTAGAGTGGAGCCCTCTGGAATATAAGAATATCTGGCATACAGTAGCTGGAGTCAGCATCGCAATGTGCAAAATACCGCAGGGCCAGTAAGACCACCTTTATTTTCAGATTAAAACATGAATGTTATCTATTGTGCTGATGAGAAGGTGTTTGTTTTTAACTTGTTGTGATTATTCCAGCAAAGTAATTTAACACATTGTTGCAATTGCAGTACAAACAAGGTGATTATTTGACGCAGTATGGACGATTTTGAAATTTTGCATTGTATCAACAGTTGAAGATTGCATTCACTGGTTCTTGAATTAATGTTTCAAGCTTGTTGTTCGATTCGTATACGCGTGTTTAATGCATAATATAATATGTAGGAGTAAGTCTATTATCGAGAACAAAGTTTTCATGTTTATTTAATAGGATGTTCCGAATAAGTGCAACAAATTTAGATATAGGTTTAATGGGGAGAGATAAAACGAAAAGTAGTAGGCCTATAGAACGTAAAAAAAATGCCTCATTAGCGAGACATTTGCCATTTGTTGTGTTTTAAAATTATACCTCAAAACTATTAAAGATATCTTTTTGACATTAGATAGGTATCCATTATTTTCAGTTATAATGTAATTCAGAACAAAATAATCACTAAAAACTTTTGTTTAAAAATGGCGGTCATGCGCCAGCGGTTACAAGCAAACGCAAGGTGATAATTATTTTTATGAGGTTTTTTATGATTAGAAATCAATAGCTCCAGTATTGTTATTTTTTTATGTTTTAGATTCAAAATAGTCAAATTATAGGCTCTAATTTGAGCTATTGATCGTTTGAATCAGTTAAGTTCAAGACACTGTATTATTCAATAAAAAAATCATAAATTTTATTATTTCCCGAATATGATATTTATTTCAACTCTGCGGAGCAGCGCTTGCTGCATGGGTCCTATAGTATTAATTATACTTTTTGAGCTATAAATTTAAAACAAAAAAATGGCAAACATATAGCTGACAAGGCATTTTTGGAAAATAATTTTACTCTTTATTTTCGATTTTCAATTTGTTGTACTTATTTACAAGACACCCAATATAGATAAGTGATCTACAACATACCACAATTTACATTACTCGTTGTAATCTATAAAAAAAACTATCTATTCATAAAACATAATCTTGTAACGAGTTTAGTTTAAAACTCGACTTTAGAATTGGTCACTAGATTGATATCTTATTAGCAGCAAGAACGAGCATAATTTTGCTGAATTAGAATATCTACAATCTGCCACTTATCATTTTGACATGTAGCTTCTTAACAATGGCAAAGCGTTGGGCGAATCAAATTATCATGCTAATAACGGATAAATTCTGGCCCAGGAATGTTCGTTCTCAGATAAAAGGAGTTAAACATTTCTATCGGGTGTGGTTCAGTACTTATCACACAGTTCATAGTTACAAGTTTTCCATCTGTTCAAATTGTTTAACGTGTCTAACCTTTATGCATTTTTGTTGGATTATTTTACAGTTTTGAATAGTAATTTGAAATATTGAGAGTTAAATATAAAATATAAAGACTTCCTATATGATTTAATTCACATCAACTCTCTCGTTAGTGAATTTTTATGTAACACATTAACAAAATTACGTAACTGGTCCTTCACGTTTATAAATAACCATGATCATAACAGAAACGGTATACAGTATCTGTTTCTATATTCGATTCTGCTGTGACTCGCAAACACAAAAAATATTAATTGGCGTAACTGGCCCGTGTTCTATACTAATGTACAGTTGAATCATCTATAATATTAAAACGAAACATGGTTTTTTTATTTCACGATTCTGAATCAACCACTGGACGGATTTTCATGATTTTTGTGTAGAAAGAAAGATAATTTTGAGAACTAGGGAATGTCGAAGCCATAATTTTAGTTTAGGGTCCCAGTTATTTAGAAATTAAGTTTTAATTTTTGAAAAGTCTAGCAGCCGACGCTAAGATTCTAAACTAGCTTTTGGTGTAATATAATTTGTTTAACATAACATCTGTAAACATTCAGCGTTTGTAACACAAATTCAGCATTTGGATAAAATTAAAAGACATACTAAGGGTTGACTTATTTATACTATGCGTAATGCTAATCATTGATACGTTTAATCCTTCGACAAGAGGATGACAGATTATTTAAATAGGTAAAATACTAGGATGTTCAAAGGAATTTTTTAATAAATTTTTGTAATCTTCGGTTTGTTTTAGTGCAATAATTTTCTTTTAACTAACAGCTGGTTGGATATAAAAATGCTCTGTAGAACCAGTAGAACTATGAGGTTATTTTATTTACTATGATTTGTCATTGATTTTTAGGAAATAAGTAAGATTAGTAGACCACTGAGAAAAGTAACACCATCGATGTATACAAGTCGAGGCTCCTGTACACGAGTCTTAAAAAAAGGATATGCAAATTATTATACTGCTCAACTTTTTTAGGAAAGGGTAGGAAAATCCATTTTGTACACGTTTTAATTCATCTTGATTTGTTTACAATCAATGTTTTTGAATGATTAAATTTTGTTTGGATTAGGCCCGGAAATATTGATGTCATAAAGAAGGAAATCAAGAATTCTCAGGAATATGATTTTAAATTACCACCACAACCTCAGACGGGTTTTATCCAAAGATATACAGATGAATGACATAGATACAACACAACGTCATCATTGACCTAGGATACTGCAATTAGACTAACCATCCTTTTATGAAATCTAAAAAGTTGTTTGGCGTGTGTTTAGTTGAGGTTACGTTTGGAGGCGCTGAATATTTTATAGTTTAAATAAATGAATATGGGGAATTACGATGTACGTTGATTCAATGAGGGTGGTTTAATGAGGGTGGTTTAATTATCAAGGATATTAGAACTGATAACGGTATGGATAATAAACATAGACAATTAATTACGTCACTAGCTTTACTAGCGTGTTTACGTTTTAAATTCCTTCAACATGTGACCAGTTCTTTTTTTTATGAATATTATTTTATTTTTGACTCAGCTGTTTACAAAATAAACTATGTTGTTGTTTTTACTTTTCTTTGTTTACACTTATTTATTTAACAATTGATGCAGTGAAATTGATATAAAGGATATGTGTGGACGATTAGTTTAATGATGTCAGGACACTAACGTTATAATTATGTGTACTGTGAATTTTATTGGATGTTTTCGTTTTTTTAAGGAAGTTTCTATTCAGACCCACTGGAAATTGTGTATAGTATGAGTAATTGTATTGTGGTGATATTGATTAAGGAAGAGGCAGGTATGCGATGGAATTGGAAGGTGCGTTGACTAGGCCTATACACTACTTCTCAATTGATAATTACTCTCTTTCTACTGTAGGCTGCAATAAAATTTGTTTTTATGCGAGTAAGCTAGCTGTTCTGAATTATACACAGTTTTAGCTGACTACTCCCGTACGTAGGACGGGCTAACACCTCGTCTATAATATTAAAACGAAACAGTGTTTTTTTATTTCACGATTCTGAATCAACCACTCGACGGATTTTCATGATTTTTGTGCTGAAAGAAAAATAATTTTGAGAACTAGGGAATGTCGAAGCCATAATTTTAGTTTAGGGTCCCAGTTTTTTAGAAATTAAGTTTTAATTTTTAAAAAGTCTAGCAGCCGACGCTAAGATTCTAAACTAGCTTCTGGCATAAAATAATTTGCTTATCATAACAGCTGTAAACATTCAGCTTTTGTGTCACAAATTGAGCATTTGGATAAAAATGACATACTTATGGTTGACTTATTTATACTATGTGTAATGCTAATCATTGATACGTTCAACTCTTCTGTAAGAGGATGACAGATTAACTAAATATACATAGTAAAAATACTAGGGTGTTCAAATTATTTTTTAAAGCAATCTTTGTAATCTTCGATTTGTTTTAGAGCAATATAATTTGTTTTAACTAACAGCTGGTTAAATAAAAACTATTGAACTATGAGGTTATTTTATGTACTCTTATTTTGTCATTGATTATAGGAAATAAGTAAGATTAGTAGAGATAATTAGACCACAGTTTAAAATAGTTTAGACCAAAATTAATTAAACCACAGTACAAATCAAGGCTCTGTACACGAGTCTTAATAAAAAGGATAAATGCAAATTATTTTACTGCTCCACTTTTCAAGGAAAAATTAGAAAAATATCAGTGTTTACATGATTTAATTCTTCATGGTAGCTTTCTGTTTACAATTAATGTTTGCCTGCTTTAACTTTGTTTGGATTAGGCCCGGAAATATTGATGTCATAACAAGAAGATCAAGAATAATCAGGAATCACGATTTTAAATTACCACCACAACCTTAGCTGGGTTTTATACAAAGATAAACAGATGGATGACATAGATTGAACACAACGTCAACATTGACCTAGGATACTGCAATTAAACAAACCATCTTTTATGAAATCGTGTTCAGTTGTGGATACGTTTGGGGGTGCCTATATCAGCGACCCCCAAACGTGAAAATATCACTTTTATTTCAACTATGAATATACAGTATTGAAGTTTAAATTAACTAATATGGGAAATTACGATGTACATTTATTCAATTAGGATGGATAATTATCAACTGATAACGGTATGGATAATAAACATTGACAATTACGTGTCATTAGCTTTACTAGCGTGTTTTCCTTTTTTATATTCCTGCTACATGTGACCAGTTCTTTTTTTTTCCAATGAATGTTATTTGAACCAAACAGCTGTTTCAAAACAAACTGTTATTGTTTTTACTTTTCTTTGTTTTTCACTTATTTATTTAGCAAAATGCAGTGAAATTGATATAAAGGATAGGTGTGACGATTAGTTTTGATGTTAGGACACCAAAGTTAAATTATGTGTACTATGAATTTTATTGGATATTATCGTTTTATTTTAGGTCGTTTCTATTCAGACCTACTGGAAATTGTGTATAGTAGTTGTATTGTGGTAATAATAATTATGGAAGAGGCAGGTATGGATGGAAGGTGGTATCGTTGACTAGGTCTGTACACTTCTCAATTGACTATTATTACTCTCTCTACTGTAGGCTACTTATAATCAGTGTGCGTCTGTGCGAATTGGCTGCAAATCCCATTTCAACGCTTTTCACATCGTAAAAATTGCAGAATTGGTGTTTTATTGTAAAATTATCGGATTTAAAATGCATATCGTATCGTATTGGCCTATGATGGAATAAAAACATATTTGGTAACACAACATTTGTTTACAAGATGATTTTTCACATTAAAACTGCAAGAAACTTTGTCTTTATATGTGTAAACTAGCTGATCTGAATTGTACACGGTTTTAATTGACTACTGAATTCCCGTACGTAGGACGGGCTAACACCTCGTATCCTATAATGCTTACTTTTGTGTCAGTGAAATAATTTGTTAATGTTTACGATCCATGCCGTTTCTGTGAGTCTTCTGGTCCAAGATCACGTGATTCACACTGTGGCTCGCGCCGTAACATCTGTTTGGGACGGGTTTTAACAGTCCCATTTAAATATTTTAATTTAAATGTTTTTAATTCCATGCGTTGCGGATCTTTTACGTCTAAAGTAGCATTTTTAATCTCTAGGGAATAAAACGCGTTTTTATGTCAGAAGCTTCAAATAGTCATTTATTTAATACTTGCTTTGTAATAACTTTAAAACTCTCACGACCACACAACTATCTAATGTAGGACAAACATCCACGTACGTATTGGTATTTTCACCAACACCAACTAAAAATAAAACCTAAAATAAGATAGAACAAAATTAACCCATTAAGCGTGATTAAAACTGTTTCGCCTGAACCATTGTGCTTTTTAACTGCTTTTACTTGGGTAACTTAGCCTCGAGGCAAGGTCCTGATCCTTACGGTCCTACAGACAGGGTCGAGGCTAGAGACTGTAATTATCTCTTGCTAAGTGTTGTTTAGAGGCTGGTGAAGTGTGAGCCAGAGCGATTGTAAATTGGTTTTGAGCGCGCGTGTACAGATAAACCTGCTGGATTGATTCCGCCCTCATTGTTCAGAAACATTCAACGTAAACAAATAATCTAACTACGGACAATGCTTTACAGATCGAAATAAGAATGAAGTATTTTTTATACTTTGGTTGTTTGAGATAAAATAAATGTACATAAAAATTAATGAAAACTATACAATTTAAGGACGCAAAGGGGAGTTTAAGTGCATTGATTCAACAAAGGCTACTCCCTTGCTACTGTAAGGCTTGTTAAGAGGCTGGGGGACGTTTAAGGCGTAATCTATGAGGTTTATCTATAAGTATACAATAGATGTAGTTGCACTACTCAAAGTCAATACTCAATTTTTCTACTCCACATTGTAATTAATAGTAACATAGATTAAACACACAGCTGAAGACAATTTTATTGTTAATTTTGTCCGGTGCTCTATAGTAGTCGTGTTTTGGTTACAATTGGTTTATTAATATTTCAGTAATTTTAAACCTCGTTTAACCAAATAAAACGATCCAATCATAAACAATAACAAGTCCCCTAGTTGGTTAGTATATGATAGTAAATAATCGTAGTGATTTTTTGTCAGGTTCATGATCAAACTTTGTATACATTTCAGACCAGTTAGTCTTCTTGTTGACTCGGAGCAAACACATACACAGAAACCGCCTCTTCTTTATACAGTAATAGGTTTGATAAGTACTGACTGGTAAAGGTATTTTATGGGTGAAATGTGGATGGTTTTAAATATTTTATTCCATTTGTATTACTTTGTAATAGGTACTCACAACCATCGGATTGCCAGAGTGTGCTCGCTGACCAAAACAACCACCACGGCAGCCAGCAGTAAGCCGACCACCTCCTTGTGTTGGCACCCTCGCGGGCCCATGTCTGGAACAGAAACAGCGGATTGAATAACAGTATCTTCTGAATTAAATAAGAGGATTTCCATCCAAAATTCAGAAAACATATAAATAATACATTTTAGAAATATTCTCAGTATAATTTGGAAGTCATTACTTAAGTTGCTTGGACGTCCTCATGGGTATTATCATTGGCTTTTAAAACATTCAAGGGAATAGATTAACTAGGGTGGTCTGCCGTTACACTTTAGACGCATAAATGAGCGAAGCATTATTTAAAGATTGTCAATGGCTAAAGTAGCTAACAACCAACAATATATTCCCTATCAACAGATTCACAGTTTGTTTGCTTGATATTAATTAAGTTTTAAAGAATGACAGATTTATCTGATAGTATGTGAACAAAATCATTGACTGGTAGTTGGTGTAGCGCTTCATCACTAATGGTTATGTCAAAATAGAATGGGTTATTTGCCTTCAGCCTAACAAGTGCTTGCTGTAGTTTTTCACTTCGAACTTTGAAATCGATATGGCCAAAGACGCCTTGACGTTGGACAATGATGACTTTTAAGTTTTCGGTCAGTGTAGGTAAGACAGATGCTATTTCATTAATATCTTGCTCAACATTAATGATGTTACCTTTGTAGTGAAATTGGCCATCCTATCCTGACCATTAGCTTGTACTTTGTAAATGCGCATAGCGGGATGTACTCTTGCAATCAACATTTGTTCTACAATCGTCAGGTCAGTTAATTCTTTCGGGACACTTGACACATCCATATTATTTAACGCCGTGAATTTAGTTGCATTTGAACGACAACGAGAACAAATCGGTGATTGGTTTGAAGCTGTTAGTTGTTGGCGATGACCGTAAGTGCAAGTGTAAAATTTTAGTGCATCTAATTCATGTTGGAATTGATTAGCTATAACTGCCTATCATTATCAGCTTCTTCCGCCACTGCTTCATCTGGTTCTTCTTGTTCACGACGCCACTCTCTTACAATATTTGCATTATTGGTGCGACGACCAATATTACGACGTGGCCTTTGAGACATGCTCAAAACAAATATAGCAAAACTGTTACTTCCATTAATAAACTGTTAAGTTACATCATAGACAAATCTATGGTTACATCCCAACTTTAACCTAGGATGAAAGTAAACATTGAAATGTAAACAAAACAGTTACAAACAATTAACATATGTTTATCTTATTTAAATAAAACTAAATAAACCCAGTATAATTTTTCTTTCAACTTACATTAAAATAACAAGCGAAACTGAGTGACCCGTAAAATGAAATACAGAAGGAAATTTGCAAATATTTTTTTACCAAAACATTGTGCTCAGTATTCTTTAGCTGTTGGCCAAATTTCATATCAATTGGTCAAGCCATTACATTCTGATGCTCTTACAAAAAAGTTACAAAGTGAGGGAAAGTGAGCTTCGCTCAATAATATTTATTCCCTTTATGTAATTTTGGATTTTGAAGCAGACACCCAATCTACATGAATTACCTGTAGCCAACGTTCTTCAAAAAGTGCAAAGTTGAATGAGTCACTATGCTAATGTCACTATATCTCTGTTTTCTCTGTTAGTTTAGTTTTCTGTGATGGTTGATGTGACGTGAAATATACTACAGTTTATAATATGCTGCACCTTTTCTTTGACTTGGTCCAAATGTTGGGGTATTTGTAAGAAATCAGCAACTTTAGTGCACTCTGTGACTCAAATGTAACGACGTTCAATTTCATTATAAAACTGACTAACTTTAACTTTAACAGGGGAATGGCATGTCTAGTTATATTCATAGTCAAAGGTGCTACAGTATACACCACCAACTCCCTTGATTTATATATATCTATTAACTAACTTTCCCGTTATTATTCTTTAAGCACGAACTTTTTAATAGTGTAAAAGTGAAGTTTTATCCTCCCAGCGTCACCAAAAACAAAGACCAGAAAACACCACGAGAAAAATGTAGCTGTATGACTAGAAATAATTCTTCTTATTGACATTAATCTCTCAGTAACATTTAGGTGTCTCACAATTTGGCACTCTATGTATTCAATACAATATTATCAATGTCAATATTAAACTATTAAAATTAGAATTTAAAAAAATAAGTACCCCGTGTTCCTCTTTATAAAATCATTTGGACTGTTTGGAGCTCCTATATTATGTCTCAAAATTTGGGTTGTTCCTTTAAATTGATAAGTACCGGTACCAATAGTAATATTTATTTAAATTTTACTGTAGAGTTCCTAACAGTTCGTCTCTATGCAATCATCATACTGATTTCAATGATTTATTGCAGCCTAAAGATATTACGATGTTATCATTTGTCTGTAAATCCCGAGTCTGTTCCATAATAACAACAATCAGGATTTGAAAGTGCCCAGTGCAAGGCGTTGCTAATCCGAATAATAAAGTAATAAATACTCTTCCGCTCGAAATTCTGGTAGGAGCCTTAGGTGCGTCATCCTACACTACTCTTATTTTAGTCATTTACTGTCATTAGAAAATTACTTAGCCTTTTATTGAATATCATTCTAATCTTATGTATTAATTGGTTTTTATTTTCCTAGTTCGTTTGGCTATTCTACACCCTTCTAACCGACCGATTTTCATTATTGAGGTGACAAATTGAAGGTATGTACACGCAGATTTCACATCAAGCATCGGCATATTTTTATCTACTGTATTAGACGACCAAAAACCATAAATTTGATTATCTTAAACTATTACTTCAATTAAAGATGTATTTCACCAGTTATAAGTATATCCACTCCTATAGGCCTAAGTTTTGGTCTAAGAACCTTCAGTAAATTGCCGGCTTCCATTTAAGCTATTAGTTATTAAATTTGGACGAGTTATATAGCAAACGCAAGGTGAACAACCAACATAAAAATTATTTTTCATAAGGGTTTTCTATGATTTGAAATCAATAGCTCCAATATTAATTATGAATTTTATGTTTTAGGCTCAAAATAATGAGTAAATTATATGCTTTAATTTGAGCTATTGATCTTTTGAATTTAATCAAGAAACTGTATTACTCAATCAAAAATCATAAATTTGATTAATTCTCGGATATGATATTTATTTTAACGGTGCTGAGCAGCGTGGGTCCTCTAGTATAATAAATTGAATCGACTGATCGTGGTTACCATTACCAAATCAGAAACATTGTATTTTAAACAGATATAATTAATTGCCTAAATGATTAACGCATCGAACAATGTTTCTAACATTTTATATACATTATACAATCAAAAACATCGCCAGGGTAGAATCGATAGATTAAAAATAGTCAGAATTGAGAAAAGACTCGTTTCTGCTGTCTTTTTCGTGTTAAAATAAGCAAAAACTTAATGATCGTACGCAATATACTGAGAAAAAAACTTTTATCCGTACAAGTTTTTTCACGATAAAAAAACAAATGCTTCAATATCCATATGGCTTTTAAGCCATGAAAACAGAACGCATTGTTGTAACTTACATTGTTGTAAAGTGAAGATGATTAATATACATCAATAACCCAACTAGTAACTGTTGATTGTTAATTGTTATTCACGCCGCTGCCATCAATCTAACTAATTGCTGGAGTCTGTCTGGATGTATCAGGTTTCGTAATTACGTCATCAAGATAACTATTCGTCGTGTTTATTGCTTAGCGGTTTTCAAACGATTTTTATGATGATTAGTTTCTTGAAATTGTCTGTAATCATTCTTCACGGATACAAACGAATTTTACAGTTTGCTGCTTTAAATAGGCTACCCTTAAAAAAGTGTTTATTTACGAATTTTAAAATCTCAAATTAAATCGTAAATTGCGATGGACTTAATTCGAAAATTGGCAGTTTTGAGGGGATTGTTTCTATTACTTGAAAAGCGGTAGAAGACACCGGTTCTATTTGACTGTTGATAGATTTCATTAGAAGTTATGTTTTGATAGCACAGTAATAATCAAGTCTCCTTTAATAACAGCCAATATTTCCATTCTTTAAAAGGCCATATTTTCCGCTTACAACTAATTTAACGGTAAATAGATAGCAAATAGCAAAATAACCCTTGGTAGCTAATTAGTTAAAGTGATATTCTTCAAATCTTAGGTCGCTGGATTGTGGAATAAATGCCACTTTTGTCATTATAATATTGGTTAATTATGATTATCCTCCTATTATCCTCCTAATTATCCTCCTAAATATGGACGTTATATACTAACAAGGCTGTTCCTATACAATACACCTATAAATAACAAACATAAATAATACAAGTATGAGTACAATAAAAGCTGAAAAAGAACTGTACAAACAATTGTAGAAACCTCTTATAATATTGAAAGGTTTTACTTCCTAACAAATTGAATTTTGAAATGAATTAATATTGAATACATTATCGTATCAACTTATTTTTACCTGAGCAAAACGTATTTCCAGTTGTGACAAAGAGCAGATCTCACCAAGGACTCGCGCATCGTCCAAAGGACGGACCATTACTGGAGCTGGAGAACTGGAACTGGACAAGCCTGGAGCTGGAGCCTGGAGAGGACCCGCCCCCCTGGATACAAAAACTGTAGACCTACACGGGAGACTCTGCTAAGAGATCAGTGCATTGTTTGAAGATTCGAAAAGTCAATTGAATTTTACAACTTTCTTACTACTAATTCATCTCAAGACAGCTTTTTTTTATTATTAAGTCTTCAGTGAATTTTACATTCCATCTATAAAATTTCACTGCAAATACATTACTAATATAATATATATAAATACCTCGTCACAGCTCTGAAGTTGCTGTATATTACAGCTGTTTCGGCATCAAAATGCCATCATCAGATACACATGTATCCACCTAAATTGGCGTCGTTAATCTGTACACACACACGAACACGATAAAAACATCCTACTAATATTATAAATGAGAAAGTTTGGATGTATAGATGTATGGATGTATGGATGAATGTTTGTGACAAGTGAACGCGAAAAATACTGGTCGGATTGGGCTGAAATTTGGCATGATGATAG